AAATTATGGTATTTGCAGGAAATGAAGGATTCCTGAGGTCATGTGATGCAACTTTGTCCTTAGCGAAAATGCGATCCGCGGCTTCGTTTACGAATTATTAACGAAAAACAGTGACCAATGAGCGAGCTCGACTGGCGCGAAGCGGCCGAGCCAACCAGCGGACGAAGCCCAGTTCCGCCCATTGGTTCGGCCGCCTCGCTTCCTATTGGTCGCTGTGTTTCGTTAATAACTCGCAAATGACGCCGCGGATTACATTTTCGCTAAGGAGAAAGTTACTTCAAATAACCTCAGGAATCGCTCATTCCCCGGAACTGCCATAATTTTGGGACAGTACTTGGTTTGACCGGACGGAATACAAAAGACTCTAACACATGAATGCCTAAGCCTCGAAAATAGTTGCGCATCAAAAACCGTCTTGCCCGAGCAAGTCGCTAATTGAGAAGCAATTTGGAGTCGTCGCATTCTTTCCACGCTGCGCAGAATAATCGAATCGTTTTCCGCAAATTTACTTACAATCCAGCCCGAAGAACTGGTTGCGAACACTGCGAGTCGATAAAAGGAAACGAGTCTCTTAAAACGATCAAAAGGTTGCGACGCGGGGACGGAAGAGTAGGGAAAAAGAGAGAGAGAGAGAGAGAGAGAGGAAGGGAGGAAGGGGAGGGTATGATTAACGGGAACCAGGAATCCGCCAAGCGGAGCGTGGCGAGGCAGCAAGGTGCACGACGCATAAATAGATTGGCGAGAGGAGAAACACAGAGAAGGGACGAAGCGGGGGAGGGGAGGGAAGCGACGCGAAATAAAAGCGACCGAAGGATTCGCTTTCCGCGTCGTCGGAAGAGGCGAACAATATTTATTTTCTCGGAGTCTCGGCATGGCTCCGGCTGTCTGCTTAAGGGAAAGGAAATTTTATTTCGAACAAGGAGACGGTGTGGTGGAAAAAAACGTACGGGGCTGGAAGACCGAGGAGAAAAATACGCGACGCGATGCAGCGCGCGGAGGACCGCCCGCGCGTCGAATCACGACTACAACGGCGCGCTTTGACTGCCAGAAGGGGAAAAGAATTTCGTGTAGAACGCAAACTGCATCAGCGCGGCAGGAGAGAGCGGCGGAAGACAGGGGGTAGGAAGATACATAGAGAGACAAAGAAAGGGAGAGAGAGAGAGAGAAGGAGAGATAAGGGTGTTCCATTTGAAGCCACGCACTCAATTATCTCATAGACTATAGTTCGTTTCAGAAAATATGTCAAATGAAAATTACTCTGTTTCGAAGGAGAAATCCTATAATGGTCGCAAATTTTTGCCGAGCGGACGCGCTTCCGAGATTTCAGGGTGACCTTGGTTTTTTAAATAGAACTGTACATTTCTACATTTTTATACGCCGTGCAGTATATGAGCCGTTTATTTTGAAAATGGCCTAAATCCATTTGTCAATTATTATCTAATGATATTATCATTAGATCACTCAGTTGCTTTACTCGTGCGTCGATTCTGGTTCGTTTGCAATGTTCAAGATGCCCCACCCCCCTACTTTCTCAACAATAAAGTACCAATAACAAAGTTGCATCCACGAATCAATAATCCAAATTTCAAAATAAAACATTCGCTTGCTCAGCTTGCACATAACTGTTCGGTCGAGCCAAATTAAATAGTATTTTTCGGACGCATCAAATTCTGTTTCATTTGTATGTCAACGAAGGTTAAGGAAGATTCGAACAGCATTAAATGATCTTGAACGAGCTTCCAAGATCGATGTCACATTATAGGTCAATGAATCGACCATAAAACGCGCGATCCGTTTACATAATAAAACATACAGTTGCATAAAAAAAAGGCCAAGGTTATTTTGAAACGTGGAAGCACGTCCACTCGGCAATAATTTGCGACCATTATATTATAATGTACCCCTTGAAACAGGGTAAGTTTCATTCGACACATTTTTCGAAACGATCTATAAGTTTAGGAGATAATTGAGTGCGTTACTTCAAACGAAACATCCTGTAGGTAAATAGAGGGAGACAGTGGAGAGGGAGAGAGAGAAAGAGAGCGTGGGGGAGAAGGAAGAGTGAAACTCGGCGGAGGAGTCAGAACGAAGAGAGGAGAGACCGAGGGGGCGAAAAACAGCGGGACACATCTCCGTGACCATTACTATCCCGGTACACTAAATCCTTGCCACTCGTAGACGCGTAAACATTTTTCACTCGGGACCCAGCCGGAGCTTGATTCCCAGAGAGCGGGAGAGCGGGACTCTCTCTCTCTCTCTCTCCTTCTCCCTCTCTCTCTTTCTCTCTCGCGTCGAGTCGCGTCGGGGCGCGTCGGGGCGCCCTGCTCTCTCAGCCCCAACCTGTAGAGCGTGGAGCCTTCGAGGGCTACAAAGTACTCGGGAAATATTACCGGACAAAGACCGACAAACGAGGCAGCGCGATAACAAAAATCGCGGCGGATATCAGCTTAGACCGGTCAGCTTCCATCGAGTTCTCAGGTGACTCGCGAATTCGCGATGCCGGCTGACCTCCGAATGGACTGGACGAGAATCCCGATTATCCGCTTCCTAAGCTATAAAACCGGTGGAAACCGTTGCTATTCTACTTATGTTAGCGTTGTCTGCTTTTCGGATGATACCAAGAATGACTAGAATTTGTGAAAACATATACAGTAAATTCTCTCTGATCTTCTCTTTCAGCTTGTAAACAAAAATGGAGAATTTGGGAGGAGGAGATACGATTATTCGAGCCTCGCAATTCATTTTTATAGTTGCCTATTGTCAGCAATTATAAAAACGACGCGCAAGGCTCGAATAATCCGAAATTGTCCATTTTCTTTTTACAAGCTGAAGGAAAATTAGAGAGAGTTTATTGTACTATGGTGGAAAATCACTTCGGATGTTCTTCAGGGATGATCCTTCGCGCTAAGATTTTTGAATACAGGATAGAATTTATATTTGTAATTTGATTTGTATGGATTTAGATACGTTATTTAATTTTATTATTATATGTTACGATCATAATTTAAAGTTTATTAAAAATGATATCAAATTTGATTTGTGAAGAGAGCTTCTTATAAACTTGTATAGATTGAATTTAAAATTTAGTAGGATCTTTATTTAATTTAATAGTTTTACATTGTTTCGACAATTTATAGGGGGGTAGAATCGACACTACGAATTTTAATTAAAAATCGACATTAGTTTTGTGTGGGTTGAGTAAATTTTTCATCGAAACAACAGGAATTTTATGACAGTTTGAATAACAATAATAGTTTACTAACGAAAACAATGACGAGTTTCCACAACGTTACAACTTCCGAATACCCCGACTTCTTCGTCCCACTCTCCTCCACCCTTCAAATACTCTATTCCTTCCGGGTCATTCCACGCAACATTAGGAAGGAAGGGATTAAGTCATCATTCTGCTAATTTCGAATTTTGTTTAAAGAATGCGGTATACATGTCAGCAAAATGCCGGAAAAATGATTCGGTATTATTATAAATTTCCTGACCAGCTAAGAAAAGTTGGAATATTCGTTCGTCCACCGAACGTATGCCAGACTAAGAAGGAGTGTCAGAGGAATAATTTACGAAGCCGGAGAGCATAGAAGGCGGGCGATTAAAGTACGTGTGGAGGGACAAGTTGGGGATTGGACTTTGCGCGGCCGAAACACCTTGCTTATTAGAGTTTTCCGAGTCCACGGCAGAGACGAGCCTTGAGTCGAGGAATCGGTCTGAGGCGGCGGGGGTGGTTTCGCGGATTCCGGCGTGGGCGGTGGAAAAAGTTGACGTTCCGGAAGTTCCCGAATATTAAAACGACTCGGCGCGTGAAATTGCTTCGTAAAGGATTTCAGTCTTGGCTGGCTCTTTAGAACGTTACGATTGTGAACGGCCGTGGCTCGACCGCCGTCGGTCGCTCTGCAATATTCCACGGTTACTTTGTGCGAATCTCACCGCTCCCGGCGAGCTTCCCTAGAGCTCTCACTGCCTCTCTCTCTCTCTCTCTCCTTCTCTCCCTCGGTGTAACACGAGTAAAAGAGGAAAGCCCGTCTAGCGTTGAACCGACCCGCTCGTAACGCGGCCGACGCGCAAACGATTATCGTTCTAGCGTGGCCAGGCCACTGCAACCGGCCGGCGAATGAGCGTCGAATCGAATCACAGGCGAGCATTATTTCCCCTTGTCTTAATTCCAGCTGGAACGCGCGATCGCGGTGCCGCGGCACGGGGCTTCTCCGTTCATTAAAAATAGCCCTCGAACATTGTTCGTTCCCGAGGTCCTGGGATTTTCATAAGAGAGTAGCTTTGTCTTCGAGAACCTTGGCCGGGTCGTCTAGAATAGGTGTGAACGTGAATCGCCCTGGGGCCACTGCTCTAGCCCTCGTCGAGAGCAACAAAGCCACGCCCATTCAAGGCGCGGACAATAGAGTGAGAGAGAGAGCGGTCTTGGAACCTAGATGTTTTGAGAATACCGAGTTTTGATGAATCGCGGGCACAACCGTGACTCTCTGTAAGCCATTGTTCTTGTCCGATCTCGCCGGATCGAGGATTATCACGCGGATAACGCGCGGAACGGTTCGTAAATTCTGATCGAAAGTATGTTTCTCCTCGGACGAAAAGTCTGCTATACCCTGTGGGGATGCATAGTTCCAGCTCCGTTGCGATCGAGGGTACAGGCGTGTATATTCCTGGCATTCTGCAGAAAGAAAACAAGATGAATAGACTTTGAAAGTTTCTTCTTTTTCGGTCGTCAGTTGTTCTTGAACAGTTCTGCCCCTGGGAGCGATTCCGAATGCACCGAAAGCAAGGAGCGCCTGTTGCCTGCGTCCGCGGAACAACGTTCTAGCAACAGTTGAGCTTGAACGGTTTTATTAATCGAGTTCCTTTAATTTCGCAGGAATTTACTTGGTAATCGTTCGTAGAAATTCGATGATTAATTCCAGGATGATTAAGAGAGTCGGTCGGAGCGGCGAGACTGGCTGCCTCGTCGTTTAATAATGGCGAACGTTCGCACGTTTCAGGGAGACCGTTCCCGGTACGAAACTGCACGCTGGCGAACCAGACCTCCACCAGCGTGGAGGTGAAATGCGTCGCTGGCTACGACGGAGGCCTCCCCCAGAAATTCATCTTGGAGGTGTACCACGGCGACGCGGACTTCTTGTCGAACAGTCAGCCGCTCTACAACGTGTCCAACGTCGACGAGCCGAGCTTCTCTCTGGCAGGATTGGAGGCGTCCGTGGAGGCGGGCGTTCACGTCGCGGTTTACGCGATCAACGCCAAGGGACGAAGCCACCCGGTCATCGTCAGCGAGGTCACTTCACGAGACGCTGAGAAGCGAACCGGTGAGTCCTCGATTGCCTCGCTTCTCGCTCTTTCGAACAGATTTTTGATTGTCGCCAGAGTTCGGCGAATTTAATCTTGAATCTTAAATAAGAAATAACAAATTACATTAATATTTCATTTTCAAATGAAATTCTCATATGTCGGACGCAAATTAAATCAATATGTATCATTTGCAAATTAAATCGAGACGTCTTTCGCAAATTAAATCATGATGTCAGATGCAAATTAAATTTATGTATCAGTTGAAAATTGAATTTGTATATTAGTTGCAAATTCAATTAATATATCAGTTGCAAATTCAATTAATATACCATTTGCAAATTTATATTTCATTTGCAACTACTAATTATATGTTTTATATAATCGAAAAATCATTGAAATAATTCTATAAATAATATATTTATTATTTATTATACGGAGAAGGTGTTATATTTTATTTGGATTCTGGGGAAGAAGGAATAATAAATAGATTTTGCTTCACTTTCGTCTCTACTGTATTGTAACGTGTAACAGTTTGAAATGGTTCGTATTATTTGCAATACGTCGAACAATGAAGAAGACAACGAATGAGATCTTATCGAACCCATCCTCGAATCAGGGATAAATTATTCTCATTCTGTGACTTATCGAATGACAAGCATATTTTCTGTCTTCATCGCGAATGCAACACACTTCCACGTCAAATATACGAATAATAATAATGCTGGTATATGTTTGATCAAATCAGAGTTGGGCAGAATTTTATTCGGACGTTGGGTAAGAGATACAGACAAACGAATAAAATTTTATACGACGCTATCGGAATAAAAATTTATCTAGATCAAAATTTATCCGAATAAGAATTTATTCGTGCAGGAATTCGTACGGAAAGGAATTGATTTGAATAAATGTGATAGAATATAAAGTGTGTCTTTCCATTGTTTAATCGATTTATTTATTTCATACTCTTTTTTACAATTAACCATCTTTCAAAAATTGAAGATTGAACTGATCCATAATGTACTCGTATAAGTATATCCTTATAAAATTATGTAAAAACAGACAACCAACAATTATTCGCATTATTATTCGAATAATTTTACAATCTCTTGACCAATAATTTATACGAATAAATAGACAGAATAATTTATGACGAACATGTAGATAAAATAATATAGTCGAATAAATAGGCAGAATATTTTGTGATGAACAAATAGATGAAATAATTTATACGAATAAATAGACAGAATAATTCATGACGAATATGTAGATAAAATAATATAGTCGAATAAATAGGCAGAATATTTTGTGATGAACAAATAGATGAAATAATTTATTCGAATAAATTGATAGAATAATTTATGACGAATAATAAATAATTTTCTGTTGTACCTACATTGTTCTTCTCGCAATAAAAAAACTTAGAAATTGAAAAAGAAAACTTCTGTATAATTTCTGTTGACAATCCCAATATATATATATAATCAAGTTACGAGTTATATAGACACTAAAACATAACTCTTGACGACAATATTGACATTCCAAGAAATAATAACGAGATAAATGTAGACCTAAGGCACATTGAAATCCCATTTGAGGATGCTCAGAAATTTTTAACAAAAAATATATTTAGCATAAGTGGAGCCAAGAATGAATACATTCAAACTCCTCTCTCTCCTACATGAATTCAGAGAAAGTAAATATTCTCTACCAACCTCGCAGTATATTTAACAAGAAGGAAGCAAATTGTACTATCTCGACTAAGAATTGGGCATACTAAAATAACAGATCAGCACATACTCTCTAAAACAGACAAAGCAATTCGTAACAACTATAACACTGAGCTTACAATGAAGCACGTCCTAATAGAATGTCCAGAGTACAACAATACCAGAAAAAAAGTAAAAATGCCCAATACCATCAAAGAATGGAACAACCACAAATAAACAGCAAAAGTAATATCATACTTAGAAGAAAGAAAATTGTTTTGCGAAATTATATAGTAACTTAAGAAGCCTAGATTAAGAAAATACTGTAAAAATGTAATGCAAAACTATTGTATATTACACTACATGTAACCTACAAATATTATCCCGCAAGTGATCGCTAATTGCTATCAAAAATATAAAAAAATAGACTAAATAATTGTTACTCGAATAAACAATTCCACTAAAAGATATTCGTTCGGATAATCATCTCAGATAAATATTTTTTCGAAACAATCGAAATAAAAAAAAATGCCCAATTCTGGATCAAGTAGGGAAACAGCCGGCAAAAATCTCAAGCATTGCAAAACCGCCCAAGGAAGCTTCATTGCGCACTAAAATCGTTAGCAACGACAGAAATATTTTCGGCAACGATGAATTAACGATAGCCATCGATAACTCCACGATGACTGGAACAATTTGTACCCGCGGGAAAACTCGGGAGCACTTTGGCGCGTCAATTTATCGGGAAATCATGACGTCAGCTGGGCGATCAACGCGTGACCGATCGCGCGGGAGTGCGGCAACGGTTCGAGGTTAGGTTCGACGTACGAGTATCGCTCGTGTAGCAGGTTAATCGGTGGCGGAGCACACCGCATAGTTTGCATAGTTTGTCGCGTCCTTGATCCACGGACGGAAGAGTATGTTATTCTCTTGGGGAGCGGGCGTGTTGATCCTTAGGGGAGAAAAGTTGATGGCGGAGGAGAAACAGAGGAGTGGGGGGACGCGCTAAGCGACAGAATGAAAAATCACGTGTCACGCGTGAGTTTAATCGAACGAGAAACGCGTTCAAGGCGAAACGGGCCGCGTTAGGCTGACCGTTGATCGATACAGTGACCAGCACCGATTGCCCAGAGATTAACAATGGTTCGGGGATCCAGCGGGCAAGGTCGTTGCCGGGTTTCCGGCTGCGGGTTCCTAACCGGCTACCGAGCGGATGGCGGCTGTTCCACCCGCGTGGGTGGTGTCAGCGACGGGGCTGGTAAGCAAGACGGATCGCCACCCCCGAGACAACACACCGAGACGAATGCACCACGCCCATTACCAGTCCCTCTGTGTGTACGTCACGCTACTTAGGTCGCACCGTGGCGGCCGCGGCGGCCTGCATCACTGCAAGCCGGTGCAGCCTCAAGGTGCGCTTCTCGAACCGCTCTCCATCGAGGACCACGAACAAGAGCTCCCGACGTCGCTTCTAACAACGGATTGAAAAGCTTCCGAAAATAACCGCGTCAAGATGTTGTACAGAGCGTTCCCTGTTAAATCGGCGAACTTCATTTGGCAATTTTGGGTCGTAAAACGAACTTTCTCCTCCGTAAGTGTGTGCTCGTAGATGTCATCTATTATACTATTATTTATTATTCCCTCCGTATCGAAATGATTGTACTATTCTCGTTAATAATTTGTATGGAAATGATTGTCCCATTTAAAAAATAAATATAATGCTTTTTTTTTATATCTGTCCTATCATTCATTTCAAGGCGTGAACGTAATTTATGAAATATTATACAATACAGCTATGCGAATACAGCTATGCGAGTATAATAAGTATTTATTGAACTTTTATTTTACATAATGAAAATAAAAGCTTCCATATATTTGATTCGATGCGAATTTATGTATGGTGGAAGTATTGTTTACTGTAAATGTTGTGGGACTTAATCATCCGCAGTCGGAGCCATTTTAACTCGAAATCAAAAATGGTTCCTCTAATCTGTAGTACAGTAAATTCTCCCCAATTTTTCTTCACAGCTTGTAAACAAAAATGAACAATTTGGGAAGTGGAGATACGATCATTCGAGCCTCGCGGCTCGTTTTTATAGCTACCGATTGTCAACAACTATAGAAACGAACGATAAGGCTCGAATAATCGTATCTCCTCTTCTCAAATTGTCCATATTTGTGCACAATCTGAACGTCAGTTAGGGAGAACTTATTGTATCTCCATTCGATATACAACAGTTACAATTTGACAGTTTCTTAAATATAAACAAATTCGATAATGTTAAAATTATAATACTCGCAAGATAAACCAATAACCAGAAAAGAAAAAAAATAACACGTTCTCGGTTCTTCACAACTGGACCGCAGATCTAATGCATTCGCGACAGAAAGAACTCTGTCGAAAGAATCTGAGGATATTGTTACATTATCTTCAACTTATCACAATTATCGAAAAAGGAAAGACATTTACCTTATGTTTCTTACAATTAACATGGATAATTTTTATTCCCAATAAAAAAACCGCAGTCTATCCATAACTGTTTCAAGAGCCCGAATCAATTGATAAACTGTTTTCAACCCCTGCGTTTAACCCCCGACCGAGAGTGGACTCTCAACTATACCATATCCAGGTCCGCCACAATGCGTTCCACGTTCCGAACGTTCCCATCTAAATTCTAATTTTCCAGCAGCCAAATTCAATCAGTTCGACGAACGAAATAATTGCCGTCCCGCGTCGTTCAATTAACGGTGACCGTTCTTAATTGCGCTCGTCGAATATATTTTAAACCGAAGCACCGACGACGCCTTAAAGTTGACGGGTCGAAACGTGGTAGTCGATCCCGAAGATCGGTTGCAAACGGGAACAAAGAAGGGGGATGGGGGAGAAGTAGCAACATTCTCTAGCCAGGCCTGTGTTATTCTTCTTGCCGAGAAATTCCAAATCCGCTGCGCGCCACGGGAACTCGAGATCGTCCGGCGAGATAGAAAAGACGGGACACGGAAGAGCACGGGGGGTGTGGGGGTTCGGAGAAGCCGGCGTATTTAAATGCCGCGAGTTTCCAGCTAATGTCCTAATTACGCGCTAATCGACTTTCGGCCCGTTCATTAGGGAACCGGTCGTTTCACCGATCGACTTCCAACGAGGGGAGTTTTAATGGTAAGTAGCCGTGACTCTCTTCGGCCCCACCCCGGCGCCCCCCTCTCGGCAGAAGGGCGAATCGAAAGATAATCAAATGCGGTCTGAGAGCTGGATAGACGGGACGAGGGAGAAACAGGAAGACAGAGAGAGAAATAGAGACAGAAATATATATGTA